ATGCAATCTGGACTTCGTAGGGCGTCTTTCTGAACTTCCGATACCTCCGATAATGGTGCCAATGACGATACGATGCATGCCTAAAAGCGTCGGCAGAGTATCGGGTATTTATCGGAGTCATCGGAATGATCTGCTAACTTTAACCTATCAAACTTTAACGAGCGAGGCAAATAAATTTAATACAACAGTGAAGTGCATACTCTTATCTGTCATCCAGAATTAGTTGTGATTATCAGTGAAGCCAATAGATCAGTCTTGAACCCAACAAAGAACTGCGCTCTGTGTTGCAACAGCTTCTCGAATGTACTACGATATTACCACTTTATACCTTCGTGGCATGTAAAGCTGTGTTTTGTCTCACTTTTTACAGGTGTGATGCCACAATAGCCAAAGTTCATTATTTACCACAAGAATACCGCCATTGCTCATTTGGTAAAATTAATTGCAAGGCGATTGAAACACATCTTTTTTCGCATTAGAGGGGAGGCACTAAAAAAAGGGGGGGGGGGGGGGCGGTGTGCAAGTGATTGTGTGTATGACACAGCTCTGCCCCCTCAGATGGCATTCTCCTTGGTGGGTAGCTTACATCATCTCTGCTGTAAGTTCTCTGTTCGTTGTAGTGTTTCTGCCAGTTTTAGTGAACAAAACCAATGTGCCCTTTAAGATATCTCCCCTGTATGTATCCTCTCTATTCTCGTCAGAGCCCGGTACCGTGATGTCACTGCACGTTGCACGAGGAGCGGACAAACTCGCCCACCGTGTAGTAGTCTCCATGTTTTTTTTTCAAAATATTTTTTATGCATCACTTAAAACAAAGTGTGACAGAAAATTCTTTTGTCAAAAGCCGGTCAGAGGTAAGGTTTGATTGACTTAAAAGAAAATGATTTTAACTTTGTGTAAAGCAGAATTTTCTTGTAAGGTTCTGATCAATCTACAATCACTAACCTTCCATAGAACCTTGCTCTTCGAAAGAAAAAAGAAGTAACATTCTGTAGAATGTTTTAAAATAAAAGATCATTACAATTGGAAAAACTAACTTGGCCTATGCTTTAAAATGAGCTGGGGGAGGGATCTCATTCTGCGGTTTACGCCGGAGCGACAATTCCGAAGACCGTTCTTCACATCTCGCATCTTGTCTTTGCAGGCCAAGTTTTCGACGGTGCCAAAGGGGGACTGCGTCATCTTGGAGTGTGAGGGAGCGTCCTGCTCTCCCACGAACGCGTAATAAAAACTTAATTTATCGTTAATGCCTTCGCCATGCTTTTTGGCTCACTAGCAGTCGCAGTTAGATGAGCCACTCAAATTTCCTTGGGGTGTTCCGAGTTCCACGGTGTCTGTTTTGGATGAAGGAAGCTCGCCAACCGATTGCATGGTAGCCGCACCGAGGTTTTATGCGCGAATGTCTGACCGTACGCAGTTTGTCATGGAAGTCCCGTTAAATTAATTTTTTGGTTTTTTCGAGAGATGGTTTGTCGGTTTGGATGGCTTGGGATTGCTTGTTTGGCCTCCTACAGTTGCTTCGTTTCGAACGTTTTCTACCTTTGGTAACACTTGGTCCCATGAGCAACCAGACGGAGGGCAATGAGCGATTTTTGGAGGTGGAGCATCTGGCCTCTTAACCTGTTCAACTATAGAATGCTTAGGTAGTGTTTTCCACCATTGTGTGCCTTCATGTCTAGGAGGAAAAAAAAAGGTAATTGCTTGTTTCTCCAAACAGTGTCGTGCTATGCACAGTCCCAAACAAATGAAATGCGACAGCCTCTCATGCTTGAAGCGCCACCCAACGCTCATTTGCGGAAGCTATCGCGCAGCCTGTGAGGCGTTTCAAAAGTAGCGACGGTGCCGGTGCTAACTTTTAGCACCCCAGTTTTAGCTTTAAACAGCAATGAGCGTCCCAATAAATTATCATAACACTGTTCCTTCTTTTTTTTTTTCTTGCACCAGGTTTGTGTCAGGTCAGCTTTAGTTATTTAAACGCCTGCCCTTTCACTGGTTTAGTGGTTATCTGTGTAGTATAGGGTGTTTGCAAGAAATCCAAACCCGGCTTTTTGCACCGCAAAAATAAACTAGACATTGCTGAGAGCTCAAACTCCATCAAAACTTAGCCCCTGCCGTTCGAGCAAGATGCCGAAGTTTCAGCACCAACTGTAATCTTATTCAAAAGTTAAAAGTGATTTTCTGAAATTTTCAATGGGGAAATTGGCCCCATTTTTGCCCGTTTTCAGTTTCCGGCACCATAGAGCTTCAACTACTCGAAAGCTCTGTCGGCCGCCATTTTTCAATTGAAATTTTCAGAAAATCGCTTATAACTTTTGAATAAAATAACAGTTGGTGCTGAAACTTTAGCATCGTGCTCGAATGTCTGGGACTACATTTTGACAGAGTTTGAGCTCCCCGCAATGTCTAGTTTATTTTTGCAGTGCGAAAAGCCGCGTTACGATTTTTCACAAACACCCGGTACATTTAAATGGGTAAAGATATTGGCACGTTGACAAGAGAACGCCATGCTCGCTCCTTGCCGATACAAAATTATCAGGAAGGAAACGCACTCCATGTACAGGCGTGCCCTTTCAACAATGTGACACCTATTGAAAAGCCTGCAGGACATTTGGGACGACCTGTAATCTTTCGAGATACTCAACGTAATTTCTGGATGATTCGGGACAACAGAGTTGGTGAAAACAAGGTGGAAATCGCACGCTAGACGTCTACTGGTAACTGAAACTATTATCGGAAAAATTAAAAAGAATGGGACATGTCCCCAAAACCCCAGCTCTAGTCATGACCGGATGGACCACCGGTAGGTCGTCATCACATTGTGCTGGTGGCAGTACCACCGGGGTTACCTGGGCAGTCGCACGGGGCGCCATCAATAGGAAGGCCCCGCAGCACCCCTTATTGTATTTGTTTCTAGCTTTTTTATCTATTTGAGCACAACGCCCGACACGACGCCATATGGTCGATGGCCAATCGTTTTTGGAATGCGGTTCTCGGCTCGCGAAACACTCACGTTGGGCCACTACTCGCATATTCAAAGCAGTCGTGAAACGCTTTTCCAACTTTTTCCTGTTTCTTTCCTCCTCAACTCATAAATCGGGCATTCTAACAAACAGTTCAAGAAGACAGAATGGGGGGAGTCCCTCTTGCTCGGAATCTCGTTTGTGTAGCCGGACACAGCCATTGTCCCCCTAGAAGATTATCCCGTCGCTCAAAATTCAGACAAAAGTTGCTTTCCCCACCCCGTTCACCCCGAAGCTGACAGTGCTGTGGAAGGTATCTGCTCGTTGGGCCAGCCACACTTTTGCGACCTGATCACCCTTTCGCGCGCATACCGACGCGCACAGAATGAGGTCAAGTGATGACAGGGAGGTGGCTGATTGGTCCGGCAAACGCGTAGCTTCCACCAGAATGTCGGCTTAGGGGCCCTGAAGGGATTAAGTGAGGTCCGGTGCCGTGCGACGTGCGCTTGGGCCCGATGACGCGCTGCGGTGTCCGCGGATGTATCGCAGTGAAAAGGCAGAGAGCTTACGAAGGGAAGGAGGTACGAAATAGTCTGCTGTGTTTTCAAAATTTTCGTACCGAAAGTCAGGCTTTTGACTTTCTAACTTTTTTTCTTTTGGCCCACTGAACGATGTGCTATTAGTAAAATCCCAATATAAGTTGATTTACACCAGCCCAAAATTTGTTTATGGGCCCTTTGAGGTTAGGGAGGGGGCATGGTCAAAGTTTGCTCGGGGCGCTTGATGGTGTAAGGTCGACCCTGGCTGGTAGTCATTCCTGTAGTCATTTCTAGTTGTTCTTGAAAGGAAAAAAAAAGTTTGGTTGTGTGAGATGCACGCTGCAGGAGGTGCGGGCAACGTTACTAGGGTCTATGTAGTCAATGACGCGGCAATGGCCGATGATGTGACATGAGAGCCGTGTAAAGGGAGGGTTTAATCAATGGGAGGCGCGGGTGGAGCCAGGGTCGTGCACCAGACTCGGGAAGAGGGCTTAACAGGCTCTCTAAGCTGAAAAGAATCTCCTAGTGGTGGTAGGTGCACGTGACGTTTCGAAAAGGATCATGAAGATTTAAGAAACAATCATGGTACCCCTCGAACTCTGTTTTGCTTGAACAGAGTGTGACCGTTCGGACGGCAGATTCCCGGCCCTCGGCGCCTGGCGTACAGAGTATGTCGATCGTTTCACTATACTCTGCGACAACTTTTCTTGGCAATAGAGTGGAAGGTATAGGCCCGCGTCCCCTCTCCCATTTTGAGTGTACGCAGGCTCTCCTCCTCCCCCATTTCCGGGGAGAGGAGGAGAGCCCGCGCACACTCAAAATGGGAGAGGGGATCGCGGGCCTGTACCTTCCACTGCATTGCCAAGAAAAGCTGTCGCGGAGTATAGTTGCGCTCTTCCACCACCATGATTTTGGATGACCGTGATTGACACATCACGTGGACCATATTTTCAGTCACCTAGAGTTACTCCAACACACTTATTAAGTTTGTTTATCGCGACCACTGCCAGGGTATTATTTCCGGCTTCCGGTTGTCTACATTCGGATTCGTGAAGATGCCCTGGAAGACGCCCAGCACGCTTTTGGCCAATGGCGCCTCCTCATTCGTCACGCGCAGTGAACCTGTTCCAAAAATGGGTTCGCATTTTAGCATACCTGAAAGAATTATAGAGAGTGTTGGAATTTCACACTACAGACAGACGAAGGGTGGTTATTATGGCACGCCCCAAAAAAGTCCATTAAAATCGCTTGAAAAAACGAGCTGCGGTTCGACCAGCTGCGTTGCTGTGGAAAACGAAACTAGAAGTAAGACCAAAATCGAGACTTAGAGTTTATAATTTTTTTTGACAATTTTGCCAATTTACGACTGAAGTGCTTTTTATAAGAATATATTTTAATGTAATTAACTTCGTTTGATATGACAACAACTAACAAAACATTAGGCTAACTGATGAGCTGAACAACCAACGCCATAGGCTTTAATGCAGTAGACATCAACAGATATAAAAATTATCCGCCATGATAGGCATTGCGCGCATTGTGTCCAGCTCGTGCTTTAATTGTGGCCGTTCCTTGTAGTTATGGTTTGTGACATTGACGGACAGGATGCCGCAGGAGGTAAGCAACAGCCCTATGTCACGGGCGTGGCATCCTACGCACCAACACATTCCTCTTTTGCTTTGCAGCTTTGTCGTCGTGAGCGGTCTCCTTTGTTCGAGTGTTCAGAAACGTTCTTCGAACACACACACACAAAAAGAAAACCAAAGCTTCCCCTGAGAGCTTTCGCGCCGTGAAATTGTCGTCCGGTGAGCTTGTTCGTCTCGTGCTTGTTAATACATTCTTTGCAGTGTTGGCGCGGCTCGCACGTACTATCGGGGAAAAATGAAATGCGAACAGAGGAGCGCGTGGCTCGCGGTCTGGCCAGTGGGGTGAAGCTCCCGGCTACTTCCGTCCCGCCGCGTATACTTATGACGTTTGTCCGGTCCGGCGAACTGCTTCCGATTGCCGCGCTCCCAGCGGCTGTTGGCACTTGCTATTTAATTTTAAATAAAATTGATTCATATATCTAATGATGCGAAATAAAAGTGAAGTTGTTTTGAAGGTGTGAATGGCTTTGAAGCTTGTTATCGTAACTCTCTCTTTCACTCTTTCAACGTGTCTGGGCGCGCTTTCTCTCTCTCCGAACCCGCGCCTCGCGCCTCGAGATGCGCTGGCCGCTGGCGCCGGGAAGTCGGTGGACCGTTAGAACGCGGGAGGGACGAGAGCCGGCGAGTTGTTTCGCTTCTGGGAGTGCGTCGCGGCGCGAGATTCGTCCCGCGTTCGTGCGCGCGCGCGGCTATCTTTTCTTTTTCGTGGGAACTCGTTGTTGGTGTAATGTGGTCAAGCATGGATTTTCGTCATCAACACACCACCTGATGTGCCAAGTGGGGAAACAATGACTGCCGAAAGCCGGGATATCAATGGTTTCGAGTTCGAATGGACGTGCGGTACGCTCTTTTGGTCTTCTCTTGCTTAAGTTTCTGATTAGATGTTTGCAACAAAACCTAACTGTCGCAGTGGTGGTGAGTATTAATTGTTTGATTTTAGCAATAGCTACGATGGTTTCCAATCACAAAACCAAATCCTATCATTGTTCAGGATTGCTCTTCACTCGCCGCGAGAAATATGTCATTGTCAAATTACTGGAGACTTCTGTGTAGACTTTTTCATACCAAGATCGAGCACATATGCTCACTTTAAAAGATGGCAAACTTTTTGCTGTGAGCTGTTTATTTGGCACTGTTGTCAGCGATTAACGCGTCTGTTCGCGAGGAGTGAAAATATGAGCCTAAATATTTTTCGATTAACTGAGGATGAGCGATAGAGCGATCCGCTCTGGTTTCCCGTTTCGTTAAGCAGTGACTCACTCCTAAATTTAAGTGATAATATTAAAAACGAATGGGCAGGTTCTCGATGAAGACTCAATACCAAAGAGCTGAGCTGTTTTTCTTGGCGCTCATTGCTTAGTTTCTTTTAGTTGCAATTAAGACACCGTCGTCGGTCTTTACTTATATGCTTACTTATATAATCAAATTTGCAAGGACGCATATCATCACCTTCGTCGCACGTAACCTTAACGTTTTATCCTGTTTTGTTGTTCATTTCTTTGTTTCTCGTGTGCAAAACAGTGAGAAATTTCGTCTGTATTTTCTACTGTCTGGTGAATAAAAATGAACGCAAAAGGACAAGCATTGCATATTTTTTGTGTATGTGTCACTTTCGTTGCTTTGCTAGGTTTCTGCTGCTTTGCTGTTGGTCTCGCTTTTCAGTGCTGGCTTGTGTGCGTTTCAACGCACGTTAACCAGCATTGAAATGCGAAGACCAGCCGCAAAGCAGCAGAAGCCTAGCAAAGCAACGCGCAAACCGAGAAAAAAAAAAAAAAAAGCTACAATATATATATATTTTTCACTCTAGGTGGCGCAAGCTACCGCCCATCCATCGAAACACAATGGCGCTGCCGTGCAGGTTCGGTTTTGGTTTCGCTGTGCCGCCATGTTGATTTTAGTACAGCCACCAGATACCAGGGGATTCAAATGGCGCTGCGGCCTCCCAGGGTTTTCCAATTTGCGTTCCATGGGCGGTATAGGAAGTTGCACTCCTCTGGTCTGGCTCGCGGTACAGGCTGCGCCGCCTGGAAGTGAACCTAGGTGCGAGGGTGCGTGGCCTACTTAGATGTATTCACGTCCCTCGATTGTCGCTCCCCGAGCTTCGGCAGTGCGCCTCTCAGTGCGCTGAAAGCTGTCACCGCTATCTTTGCCTGCTCGGCGAGTGCGGCGAGCTTCTTTGCACCGCGCGCGCTGAGCCAGCAAAGATAGCGGTGAAAGCATTCAGCGCACTAAGAGGCGCACTGCTGAAGCTTGGGGAGCGCAGAGGGAGGGGCGTGAACACGTCGGAGTAGGCCACGCACCCTCGCTCCTAGGCTCACTTCCAGGCGGCGCAGCCTGTACCGCGAACCACGCGCTCCTCTGTTCGCATTTCATTTTTCCCCGATAGTACAGTCGGCGGTAAAAGTTTGCGGGGCGCGGGAGCGCCAGCCGAAAAGACTGGCTGCGCCATCTCACGGCGCGTTGCCGCTCTCGGCGACCAGCGAAGAGGGGATTCCCGAAATGCTGGGATTCGGGGAAGGAGCCCACGGTTCACTAGCAACCAAGCGCATTCTCGTTGGATGGGAGAGACTGCATCTGATCGCCAACCAGTGAAAGTGTCCCAAAAGTGGGAAAAGCTAAAACAAAACAAGAACTAAAACTTTTACCTGTGTCGGCAATTTGAACTTTTGCTGACCCCCCTGTCTCAAAAGGGGTTAGGTACCGCCAACTAACTAACTAACTGCCAAGACTCACGCTTTGCGCGTGCGCTTCCTTTCTTGTTCGCGGTCATGCTTTTTTTGCTCGCTTCCGTCCGACACCCACGAGATAACAGGGACTGGCGCAAGGTGCTGCGAAATGTTATCTGTAGCATGCGCGAGCTCCGTCACCCATCACGGTGGCTGAGGCCAGTGTTGCCAGATTGAAAAGTGACCGCGACACCAGAAACTCACAAAAATTTCCCCAGATTTCACCAAAAACTAAAATAGCCAAAAAATCCTAAAAATGACAAAGAACCAGCACTCGTCAGACACATATATTACTAATAATACAAAAACATGTCGTTCGCCCTCTAATCGTCCGTTTGAGCATCATAGATGTCCGACTGGAACCTGCGTAGCATATCATCAGTAATAGTGAATTTCACGCAGCACACCTCCCTGAAGGCCAATGTTGTGCGAATTCATACAATGGTATCCAAAGTTTTCAGTGACATCTTGTTCCTGTACTTCGTCTTCACACACCTGACCTGACTGAAGACCCACTCCACTACCGCATTTGACACTGGGCACGAAAGACAGGCCAGTGCGTACAGTGCCAGTTCCTTGTAGGGTTTTTGACCCATGCCGTTTTGGTACTTGAAAATTCCAGCCCAGAATGTTGCAGAATCCTCTGGAACTTTGCCGTTGAATATGTTCTCCTCACTCCAAAGATGCATGACAATTTTTCTGTATTGCATTTCAATAACATCTAAGCTTTCTTCAATCAGGTGGTGAAGTGGAAGTTGCAAAACAGAAAGGCGTGCAGTTTGGGACAGGACTTTAGAAGGGTGAAGTCCATTGATGCCTTGAAAAATTGCTTGATTGGCAGGAAGGTGCTTTTCCACTTCTTTTAGCAAGTCACTGAGAAAATCTTGGCAGCGTTGCTTGAGCCCTTCCACGGCAGCTTCACTAAGGTTGGACTCCTGGTGCTTGCAGCAACGAAGTAGTTCACTGGTAAACTGAGCTCCAAAGTCTGTCAATCCCTTGCCTGTTGAAGATTCTTGACTTCAACGCTCGGTGAAGTATGTCGAGCTCCTTGAACATCTTGTCTGGATCAATGTTCACTGACTGGAAGAAGGCATTGATCTTCTCAAATTCAAGGACGATGGGAGACAGAAATATGAAATAAAGGTAATTCACGTCATCATGGAGCATGTCATGGATCAAACGAGCCTTGTACCTCACCTCTTGAGATCCTTCTTGCATGGCTAACTTAAAGTAAGCCTTCAGCCCGTTCCAATGCTCAAGAAATCTCTTGATGACACGCCCTCGAACAAGCCATCGTGTGCCAGACAACTTCAAAAATGGCATGTGGCAATTCTTCTCGGCACTTTCTGCTTTCACTTCTTGTTCTTTCAGGTCTTCAAAAAGTTCCTTTTAAGCACGGTGTCGGAGTGTACTGTTTGAACACCATCCTGGGGTTTCAGTCAGCAGGTAGCCTAGACTAGAAGGCAAGGTTTCGAAGGCCTTTTGCACACAGAGGGCCAAGGAATGGCAGACACACTTGTTCAGGATGCAATTAGGGGACTCTTACTTGATTCGTGACCACACGCTGTTGTGTTCGCCAACCATTACAGCAGCTCAGTCACAGGCAATTCCAACACAATCCGAAAGGCACATCCCATACTCAAAAAGGCAACCCCTGACAATCTGGAAAAGTGCCTCACCAGTAGCATGAACGACTGGATAAAGCCCTAAGAAGGGAGTTACAACTTCGCCAGATTTCTCGCTGAAATACCGAGTGCATATTGCAAGCAACTTCTCAACACTTATGTCCGTGGTCTCATCCAGCATCGGAGAGAACTTCTTGCCTTTGATGTCAGTCATCACTTCGTCTCGAAGAGAGGGGGACAAGACAGAGTTGATCAAAGCAGTGCACTTGGTTCGATGAAGACGCAAGTGTTCAAAAGTGCTGCCTTTACCATTCTTTTTTATCACTTCCCCTAGATGGTCAATTGCCAAGGTAGGGCAGTGGCAGCATGTTGCGAGAGCTAACTCTAACTCTACACGTTTCAGATCATCTGACAGGCCTGGCTTCTTTGGGAAATTCAGCATCTTAGACACTGATGCAGACTTGAAAACTTCTTTGTGCTGAGCTCCCTGTGCACGTTTGGCCAGTGTCCCGCAGTGCGGTTGCAGTGATTTTCGGCATAACTTGCAGAACGGAAGCTTCACACCCTGTGACGTCACACTGGTCAACCATGTAAATTCTTTTTCCCAGGTTTCGAGGTACTTCCTGTTGTCGTCGTAGGACTTTCGGGCTCTTTTCACTGTCTTGGCACGTTCTGGATCATTATCTTCCTCGGAAATCGTCAAATCCTTTTGAAACTTGCTTTGGTTGCTCATAGCTACAGTGTGAAGCGGTTGAGCCTGAAAAAAGAACCAGGACATGGGAGCAATCTAGACAAACCTTGCGAATTGAAATCCAAACAAAAAGACACAGGACAACCGACAACATTCCCATTTGGTTCGACTAAAACTATCGCTGAAAAAATAGCTTGATAACTTACCAAATTGCGATGCGATTTGCCTCCGAAGTTCCGTGTAGATCATAAGGTCACCGGTTTCACGGAGGCTAAACGTTGTTAATTACACCTGCAATCCGGAGCACGATACCGGTAAAGCCAGCGAACGATGGCAAAACCTCGGATGCCGTAGATACGGAACCACGTGGGTACAGAATCGCAGCACGAATGAAACCTAGCGGATGTAGCTGCAGCAGTGCAGCAGCAACAAGGCAAGTAGATGGTGGATGTATAAACACAAATATGGTGCAACTCTTACGATCAGGCGGCCGCTGGCGTCACCTAGTGCTAAACTTTCGGATCAGCAGCGCCGGCAGGTGATTTCGGCGTGGAGTGTGTTACGACGCCGCAAGAACGTGACGATAGCGGCTGGTAATCAACGTTTATTCGTGCGCAGCTTGCGCTTTATATGGTAGACAGGCAAGGGGAAGGCGAGAGGGAAAGGGAGAGAGAAGGTGGAAGATAAGATGACAAGCGCCACTGTGCTTGTGGCGGCGTAGCCGATCTGCAACAGTCTTCTCCCTCCTAGGGGGAAAACCGCACTGGGGCTCTCCTGGTTCGAGTCGGTCGCTGCAGGCCTGGCGCTGCCTCCGGCGGCGGGAGACGTGACGGACTGGAAGCACTTTCCGGTGGACTTTCGGGAAGCCGGGGCTTGATTTGATCGAGGTGTCTGTGAAGGACGTCTCCCTCGTTGCCGTCGGCGGTGACCATGCGTGCGCCGTCCGTGGACTGTACTCTAGCTGGTGTCCACAGTTCACCTCTTCCAAAATTTCGCACCCATACTGGTTCCCCTGTGTGGACAGGATTGTTGGTATAAGTGTCGTTCCGATCGTTGACTCGTGATGGTGGGGTTACGACCGCATTATCTAGCCTTGAGCGCAGCTCGTATCCCATTAGCAGCATGGCCGGGGTCTTGCCACCTGCGGAAGGTGTCCGACGGTACTGATGCAGCACCCTTGCTAGACGAGTCTGCAGCGACCCTTGCTTGTTTTTTTTAAGTCCCTGTTTCACTGTACGGACGGCGCGCTCCGCCAGCCCATTAGACGGGGGGTGGTAAGGTGCCGTACGAAGGTGAACGATGTTATTGAGCCGCAGAAACTTTCCAAACTCTTCACATGTAAACTGTGGGCCATTGTCAGATACAATGGTTTCTGGCAACCCGAAGGTGCTAAATACCGTTCGCAACGCCTCAACCGTAGAAACCCCATTGGCACTTTTTATGGGCACCGCCTCAATCCACTTCGTGTGTGAATCTACCACAACTAACAACATAAAACCATCCACTGGTCCCGCAAAATCGATGTGCAATCTGGACCAGCGTCGCCCCGTCTCCGGCCACGGAACAGGTGTTTGTCTAGGTGGCATCGGTGCGGCCTGCACACAAATATGGCACGTCTTTACGAGTCGCTCAATATCTTGGTCAATGCACGGGTACCACAGCATTGAGCGAGCTAGCGTCTTCATGGAGCCCATTCCCTGATGCGTATCATACAGTAGTCGTAGCATTGCTGGTCTGGCAACTTGCGGCACAACCACGCGATGGCCCCAATACAAAAGCCCATGGCTAACAGTCATCTCGTCTCTCCTGTCAAAGTAGGGTTTTAAATGGCTGTCCTCTAGTGCTAGACGAGAGGGCCAGCCTTCCTGTACCCACTTCCGCACCTTTGCGAAACCATCATCTTCCGCCGTCAAAACGGCCAACTGCTTAGCCGACAAGGCGCCATCGTTGAGGCTTTCAGTGAGGAGAACATACTCACAGCCATCCACGTCTTCCGCCGATTCAGGGGGTGCTGATCCAGACGCTGGAAGCCGGCTGAGTGCGTCGGCCGGAATATTGGCTTTGCCGTCCTTGTGCTGGATGACGTAGTTGTAGGCCCCCAGCAGCAGAGCCCACCGTTGGATCCGCCCCGCAGCCATCGCCGGTACGGCCTTATCAGGATGAAACAACCCCAACAAGGGTTTATGGTCAGTCGCGAGCGTGAAACACCTTCCCAAGAGGTATGTTCGGAATTTCGACACACCGAACACCAAAGCGAGGGCCTCCCGCTCTAACTGTGAATAATTCCGCTCGGCGGCTGTGAGTGTGCGAGAGCGGAACCCTATGGGGCGCAGGACCTCCTGGCCAACATCGTGAGACAGTACGGCGCCAATGCCCAATGGTGACGCGTCACACTCAAGAATTAACGGCTTGTCTGGGTCAAAATGCGCCAAGAAGTCACCTTTTTTGAGTTGGGTCTTCGCCTCGCTAAACGCGCGTTGCTGTCTGGGTCCCCATTCCCACTTTGCCTCCGCGCGGAGAAGCTCGTACTACGGCGCCATGATCGAGGACGCGTTCTTGAGGAACTTGTGGTAGTAATACCCCTGTCAGACGGGCACTTCAAATGACATTTACCCCAAATGACATTCAGCGTAAATGTCATTTAGGCAGTGTCACACGGGAACTTAAATGACATTCGACTTAAATGACATTCGAGCTCAACTGAGTTCGCCCAAACTCATTTACGGCTCGTAAATGTGTAGCCTCGTCAACAGCGGTCAGCGCAAGTTCCGCGAATTGAAATAAAACATTATAAATAATATAAATACAATTGAAAACAGTGCTTGTAGCAATTATTTTTAGAAAAAAATGCTTATAACCTGTATATCTCGCACACCTTTTGCGATATATTCGTTTAATATACTCGCGGTCTCAGTTGCCCAGTACCAGCCGTTGTCTGCTCGCTCGTCTGCTCGCTCGCTTACCTCGGTTGTTTAGCTTTCCCATTCCTTTTGCCATTTATCTGTCTCATCTTCTATTTCTTTTGTTTATATTTTATCATCGTTTTATAGTCTTTTATTCTTGTGTTGTATATAAATAATATTTTTGTTGTACATATATATTTTATTGTTTTAAGTCGTTTTAAGAACGCGCGCGAAGTGACACCATGTCGAACGGAGCGGGACCAGCGGGACCTTCGGCCGCGAAGAAGAGGGAACCGCGCGTAGTGTGGACTTCCCAGGAGACCTGGACGTTGATCCGGCTCTGGGAGGGCAGAATGGAGGACCTTCGACGCGCCAAGCGTAACGGAGGAGTGTACGAAGAGATTGCGGAGGAGCTGCTTCGTTGCGGCATCGTGAGGACGAAGGGCCAGGTTCACACCAAGATAGAAAATTTGACCAACACGTACCGGTAAGATAATTGTAAAGTTTCATGCACCCTGAGAGTAGTACGAGTCAGTACGGAAAATAAAAATTAAGATTACTTAAATCGTGGTTTAGATCATGATTTAAATCATGATTTAAATATCCCAGTTAAAAAATCCCATTATACATACATCAATAGCTTTGCATAAAGTTGCCATTTACTGCAATTCCATTTTTCAGAAAACACCTGAGGGAAGGGACCACCACGGGTTCCGGTGCCATGAAGTGGCCCTTCTTCTGGGACCTCAACCGACTGTTGGGGTCCCTACCGCTGAACGACACGACCCTCGTGGATGAAAGCCTAGCTTCTAACAATGCTACACCAGCAGTAGTGGAGGTGGGTTTCGTGGTTTCTCTCAAAAAAGTTTCCGCATTTTTTAATAACAAATCATTTCAATGTACAAGTGGCAGCCAGTGGCAAATGCATGAAATTATTTTGAAAATTGCCCACCGAGCAGAGTTCACCGAGCTAATCGAGGTGCTCCTCTGCTTTGGCTGCTTTTTCGACAAGCCGTTGCAAAGCGATGAAACTTTGCATGCGTGTGACGGTGCAGTGCGGTAAAGCTTGATGCAAGAGCTTCAGCTGAAGTGGAGCATTGTGGCTGCTTTAAAAATTCAAGGTTCTGCCAGACTATGGCTATACTCTTGACACATATAACTATGGTAGCAATACCTAGCATTATGATTCTCAACTACAAAGCATTCATACACAGGGTTGGAGCTCCGTTACTTTTGAGTACCCCTTGTATAATGGCTTTGGGTGGCACCTAACAGCTTGCTGCAGTCTCTTGTAGCTTAACAAGAAAACTACTTGTGTGGTACTCCTCTCAGTTGCTCTCCGACATGCAAGAGGGAGGCGTGGTCGAAGTGGACTACTTCGAGGAGCCCGTCGAGGAACCGGGAGAGGAGCTGCGTGGCGAGGAAAGCCAAGTCACCAGCACCCCCGCCACTACAAGTGTCAGCAGGCCGGGGCCCAGCAGCGTCAATGGCACGAGCAACGTGCCGCTCAGGCCACAGAAAAGGAAGAGGCCGCAAGCTCCAAGCACCGCATATATTAAAACGGTGATTGATGAGCAGAGGCTGCTCAGGCAGAGTTTTGAGGCATCGAGGGCAAGAGAGTTTGCCCTACGCGAGCGGGAAATAGTCCTGCAAGAAACCGCCATCAAGGTGCAGCAAGAGCTCGCGACTTCATTGATGGCTTTCATGAATAAAAATGCCTCGTAAACTGCAATGTAAGCTGTCCCGGTGTGCATTTATGCTACATTCAAGAGTAGCTCGGTGGCTCCAGAGCAGAATGTTTGCCTACGTATCCCCAGTTGGCGGGATATAATCCTGTCCGTGGTGTCTGCAATCTGACGGAGGCTTATTGCGGAGAGGGCGCTGTGTAACCAAGATTTCGGTTGTACCTCAAGGTCCCTAGGTGACCCACACTAATCCCCAGTTTTTCTTTAAGTTGTACCAGATGCCATTGATTGGTTTGGCATGAGGAGCCCCCAAATAGAATTCTTGGTATTCGATATTTGATTATACATTGGACTTTTTGCCAACTATTTGGGAATATTCGATTTCATTCAAGCTGAAATTCTACTATGTGCACACCCATACTTTTTTTCCTTGCAACTCTCGTGGAAAGCAACAGTTGAAGGAATCCCCCAAACAGGTGCTGGTATGGTATTTCTTGTACTCCAGCAGTGACCCTTTCAGATGATCTTTTGTTTTATAAGCTTTGTTTCATTGCACATAGTAGCTATGAGAGGTGCTTGAACTTATATTTGGGCAGTCAATGCCTTAAAATTTCTTAAAATTGTGTTATAAAAGCCACATGAAAGCATACAGAAGGCGAAGCATATGGACCGAAACATGAGACTTCACTTGGGACACGGGAGTTGGCAGCACGTCTTATGCTCCAAAGCCAGATTTGTTTGGCCCTAAAAAGGGCCTTTTGTTCTTCACGCACTGGAAAGGGCCCTCGTAGATGTCAAGGTCTGTGCTGCAAACAGGAGCAGCCACTTGAGCTCTTCATCTAGACCATTTGCCTCGAGCGTTGGTGTAGATAGCCCGCAATAGCGTCCCTGACGCTCTGCCCATTGTCTGCCTCAGCATCTGTGGTGCACACCGGTTGCAGATAGATCCTATCCTCCGTCGCCACGTCGCTGAGCCACTGTGGCTCGACACCGTCATTGAAATGCTCGCACACATTGTTTAAAATGCAGCAGGCTCGCACAACAAGCCGGGCATTGTCCACCTCGCACTCCATCCTCTTCATGATGAAGCGGAATCGGGCCTTGACCCTTCCGAAGGCGTTCTCCACGACTCGGCGAGCAGATGACAGCTGTCGGTTGAAGCCTTCCTGTGGAGAGTCCTTCTTAACGTCCTTGCGAGGGTACGGCTTCAGCATGTTGGACGTCAAAGGGAATGCCTGGTCACACAGGATCAGGGGCGGCACGGTGGTCCCGTTGACGGTGACCATGGGCATCTGCAGCGTTGGTCCTTGTAGAACAGCCGCCAAAGCCGACCTCCGGTACACATGTGCGTCGTGGCACCGCCCTGGTGTCCCGACGTTCACATACCGGAACCGGTAACGGTGGTCTACGAGGGCCAGCAGGATGATGCTATACCTGGATACAAACATTACAAGGCATATATCAGTTCCATGGGTGTTGAATGCTGTAGCCATACAGTCCTCAAAACTGGAGATTCAAAAGGGAAGTAGACAGCACAGCACAATTCGTTAAAACTCCGCAGAACAGAGGTGTACATAGCTTCTAAACATCACATTAAGTGTAAAAAGCTGGCTATCAGTTGCTGGCACCTCATATTCAAGAATAGCTATTTCATAACCTCCATGTCATCAAACACGTGTGGCTTATATCACCATATTAAAATTTATAGGGAAAAATGTTTGGTCCAGGTACATTTTATTCAAATCGAAACCTTTGAAACCATTTGCCGTGCAAGTTTGTCTGCTTTTTGCGCACCTCGTGCATTTGTTTTCCGCATCTCGTGCATTTGTTTTCCCCCCAAATGTGCCCACACGGGTTTGTTTCCCCTCGACCAAGGACGGAACGAGTTGGCTGCCTCATCATCGCAAATTTTCTATGCGTTCTCTTCGTTGCTCTTTGCTTGGCGTGCCCCTCTTTGTTTCGATGCCTCAGACTCATTTTAGAACACTTGCTAGCAGGCAGCAACGAGTTTGCATCATTCAGTTTGGCCAGCTTCATTGAATTTGCTTACTGAGAGGAATTCACAGTCAATATTTATTAGAGAAATTGTTTTTTTTTCCCCTTTTTTTGTTGCAATATCGGTTTGAAAACAGATGCCCGACTTCCTAAAGGGCCAGGAAGTTCAACGTATATGGTATTGGTTCTAGCAGTCCATAGATGATCATACACATTATCCTTGAAGTAAAGGTTACCTACCAGCCCTTGTAGTTGTGGTAGTCGCTCGCGTTGACCTTCGGTGGTGAGATGGGGAAGTGGCAGCCATCCAGCGCCCCTATGCCCTGTGGAAACTCCAGAGCAGCTTGGAACTCCCGGATGTGGTCCGGAAGCTCGGCGGCGCTCACCATCTTGAGCCAGTCCTGCTCGAGGACGGAGACAACTACCCTACAGAACTCCCTGTAGTTCTCGTTGACGGTGGACCGTCCCAGGCCGAACAAGTTGGCGATGGTGCGGTCTTCTGCGCTCGAGCACAACTTGTACAGCGCGGCACCAACTCTCTTTTCCACCGGAATGGTGGAACGCATGTTGGTAACTTCGCGCTCCATGTGAGGCCGACACACGTCTACCAGGTACCTAAACGTAACCGGCTTGACGCGGAAGGACTGCTTGAAGAAGTGCTCCGGCAAGTGCGGTAGAGTGTCCTCAAACCAGCGTTCGTTCCTCCTGAACGCTTGGATGCTTCGTGGGATGATACTTGACGCTTCAACGGCAGCGAACATCAGGTCGTTGGAAAGGAGCCTTTCTTGAAGGCGGACGCTTTCTGCACTGGCAGATCGTATGTCGGCCCTCAGCAGCGTCAAGGCATTCTGTTGTTGTGCGTACAAACACGCCAGAAAAGCAATCCGACGCTCCGGATCCATCGCACTACGATCACTGTCGTCAGCAGGCTCCATCGCTACAGCGTCACGGTCTTCGCTTGATCGATCGCAGACGTAAACGTCAACGGGGTATACGAATCCGGCGAAGAACGAAAGTGCGCGAGGAACAACGGCGAGCAAGATGCGCGGAGTTCCGAAAGCAAACGAACCAAGCGGCGGAACGGATACGGCTACGGATTAATTGGGATTGCTGACGTCGTGTCATAGTTGCCACAGAATACCTTGTCTCCGTCAAAACGTCTACTTCGTTTCATCTCCGTGTTTGCATTCTATGTTCTGAGAGTTTATTACATTTTATTTACTTAGTAAACAATAAAATAAACACTAGTTTGCCGGGTTAACAATAATACAAACGCTACATTTTTAGGTTAACAACAGACCGCTATCGTGATAGACATCACCCAAATGACATTTGAGTTTCCCGTCTGAACACGACACGACTTAAATGTCATTTGAAAATCCTAAAGGCCTTTAGCGTAAATGACATTCGAGGTGCCCGTCTGACAGGGGTATAAGTCACCAGCCCTGCAAAGGACCTTACTTCGGCTACTGTTCGGGGCGCCTTAACTTGGAGGATTGCGTCTATGTTTTCTGTCTTAGGTTGCACCCCTAGATTGCTAATTCGGTGCCCCAAAAAGTCCACCTCGGTCTGTCGAAACTTGGACTTCCCTGGATGCACCCGTACCCCCGACTCACGAAATCTTTGCAATACTTTCCTAAGTAGGGTGCAGTCATTACGTTTCTCAGCGATAATGACGTCATCCAGATAGACCTGGACTCCCGATAGGCCTTGAAGAATCGACTCCATACGCCGCTGGAACAACGCTGGTGCTGACGCGATGCCGAATGGCAGACGAGTAAAACAGAATAGCCCTTTCTGCGTATTCACGGTCGTGAGTAGCATAGATGCCTTATCTAACGGGAGCTGATTGTACGCGTCGCGTAAGTCGATCGTAGTAAAAACTTCGCCTCCGTTCAGCGTTGCAAGAATATCTTCCACTCGCGGAAGCGGATACTGTTCAGTCCGACATGCTTGATTAACCGTGATCTTGAAATCTCCGCAAAGGCGTATGCTACCATTACGCTTTACTACCGGCACAACAGGCGCTGCCCAATCGGAATGGGGAATTGGGATAATAACGCCCGTTTCCACTAACCGGTCAATTTCTGCCTCTACCTTTGAGCGTAAGGCGTACGGCACTTGACGTGCTTTACAAAACTTCGGAGCTGCGTCCGCTCGAGGCTGAAGGTGGACTGGCGGCCCCTGAATGAGGCCCAGCCCTGGCTCGAACACTTCCGCGAATTCGTCTAGCAACCCCTTGAGATTGACCTTGTCCACGAAACTGGAGGCCGAAGGCTCACCTTCTGTTGCTACGCTGAGTACCGGCATCTCCAGCAGGTCGAATGCGTGTATGAGGTCGCGTCCACACAGGTTGGGGCCGGAGCAGCCCAGGACAGTCAGTGTTCCTTCCCTGGCTTGGTCTCCCAAGGCCACCTTGAGCTTCAGCTGCCCGCGCACTGGTAGTTTTCCGAGGAAACAAGTCAACTTCAGAGGAGAATCCTGGAGGCTCGGCCACGCAGCTTTGTGCCGCATGTAGGTAGGCCACGTGATGACCGACACCGGAGACCCCGTATCGAGTTGCATGTTGACAGGCACGCCCCCCCAGTCGAAGGTACCCGCAATAGGCTGAGTGGTCTCGATGTGCCCGACGTGTTCCATTGACGCCCCCAACATGAACAGGCCCTCTGTTCTGGTATCCCACTCTTGTTCATCCCGCGGGGCCAGTGCATTGACGTGCTGTTGGGTTGGCCTTGTTGACGCGGTGACTGGTCTGTCGGCGCGACGGAAACAAGCCTTGGCGATATGACCTCGTTGGCGGCAGTTGTAGCATTGCGCTGACCGAAAACGGCACGCGTCTGGCTGGTGTCCCCCTCTGCCACACCTGGAACACGGCGACTCAGTCTCCCGCCATTTCTGCCTTGCCGTCCTGCTTCCCACGGCGTGCACGCCCCCATCCTCTGTCGTGGCGCGTTGCATTTCCTTTACATTTTCTTCCGCCATTTCTGCTGCTACGGCGACTTCCTCGGCTTCGGTTCTCGTCAAGAACGGCTTAGCCAAAAGTTGCCGACGCAC